TGATCAACCCACACCTACAAGTTTTTTCATCAAACGTCCAACATGATTACCAACACGCCTACATCCAACAACCATCCAAATATAATTTTCAACCCACTTACACATAACAACCAACCCAGCATGATAACCAACCCACCTACACCTAACAACCAACCTAACAACATTACCGAACCACATATATCCAAGAACCAATTAAACATGATTAACAAACCACATACATCCAAACATGCGACTAATTCATGTCACACTTCTGAACACAAAACCAAGAACATAAACCATACCCCTAACAAACAAATGCCTCCACCATATCTTACCATAACACCGATGAGGCATATGATACCACCATATCCTACCATAGCACCCAACCAACATACGCACAAACATCACACAACCAAAGCACCTAAACATCACACCAACAAAGTACCCAACTAATACATGCCTACCGAAACGAATCAATGTCCCAATTCAAACTACTATCTTGACCACCCGTAACTGAACCAACGCGGCCAAACTATGACGACATTGGCATCAAACTTGATTACGCAAGCGCGTCCCAATTTAGCTGGCAAGAGATGCTAGATTTCATTGATTATAATAATATCTCAAGAACCTAACATTAAACACCTTAGGTGAATCCTAGGAGGAAGCAAACTCCTCAAGGGAATCGTGGGAGGCCTCAACGACAAAGGATAATTCCGGGTTATGGAACCGGGGGCCATTATAATCAAGCGAGACATTAAAATGTGTGTACAAAATTTTCCTGCATGTAATTCTATTTTAATTAAATAATAATAGTATTTAATTTTTTATTTTACATTTTATTATTATTATTTAGTTTCTAATTTAATTATTAAAAAAGCCAATACACATAGGCGCCAAATCTACTTACGCCTCCTATGAGTGAAATAACACATGCGTCAGACCCATTGACGCATTCATGGTTCAATTTCCAGTATGTGTGGCACCTATGTTCTATTTTTAGTGCATGCACCATTACCACTGGCGCCTCCTAGTGAAACCTATTTGTGCCATGAACTTGTTGAATATCCTATTCCATTGTCGAGGAGATTGTTTAAGGCCATACAATGACATATTAATCTTGCACACATAATCTTCCTTCCTCTTTTCTACACACCCTTCAGGTTGCCTCATTAAGATCGCCAAACATAAAGGTTGTCTTTACATCCATCTGTTCAAGTTATAGGTCAAACTTCGTCATAATAACAAGCAACATTCAAATGGATCTATGCTTTACAACAGAATAGAATATATCATTGAAGTTCAAAACCATCTTTCTGAGTGAACACCCTACAAACCAACTTTGCCTTAAATCGCTTTGACATCAACCATTTGATTCCTTCTGTAACTTTGAAAATCCACTTACAACTGACTAACCTGGCTCCAACAGGTTTCTCAATCAGCTCCTAAGTGTTATTATCATGAAGAAATTTCATCTCATCATCCATGGCTATCAACCATTCAGTCTTATTTCGACTCCTCACAACTTCCTTGTAATCTCTAGGTTTTTCATCAAGGACTTCACTTGCATAAATTAAGGAAAAAGCTATGAGGTCTACATAACCAAGTTTCTGAGGTGGCTTTATGGCTCTTCTCGACGAGTCTCTTGCTGACAAGTATTCATTTTCAGTTTCCTCATCTTCATTAGCAACTTGTGCATTTTTTTCAACTTCATATGGGTTATGCAATTCATCATCACTATGCTCCACCTACTAGGAATCTCTTCTTGTTCCAGCTTTTCTCTGGAGATTTTCGTGCTTTGACAAATGTCATCATTTTTCTTGAAAGCCATTTCAGCTTCATTCAAAACTACATCTTGAATCATGATACACCTTCTGTGACCAGGCTCTAGGCACTACAACCTACAAGCTTTGACTCCTTTAGGGTATCCAAGGAACATACATCTAAGAGTTCTAGGTTCGATGTTGTCTTACCTAATGTGAGTATATGCTACACAACCAAATAATCTAAGTCTGACGAGATTAAGTGGATGTCTCGACTAGACTTCTTCGGGTGTTTTTATTCCCAAGGCACTCGAGGGATACCAATTTATCAGGTATACTGAAGTCACTGCAGCCTCATCCCAAAACACCTTCTTCGATCCTGCACTAACTAACATGCATCTAACCCTTTTCTAGAATGGTTCAATTAAACCTTTTAGCCAAACCATTTTGTAGGGGAGTACCTACAGTAGTTTTGTGCCTTGTAATACCAGATGCAACACAAGCTATTAAAACCCTCATTGCAAAATTTAAGACCATTGTCGATTATTAACCTTTTTACCTTCATGCCAGTTTGGTTTTCGACCAGAGTCTTTCAACTTTTAAAATTTTCAAAATTTTCATCCTTAGTCTTCTGGATTAATACCTATAACTTTCTAGAATAATCATCAACTATGGATAAAAATCATTTTGCACCTGAGTGTGAAGGATTTCTTGTCGGCCCCCCAAAGATCATGATGGATATAATCAAGGGATCCATGTTTTCTTTATTTACCTTTGTTAAACTTCACCCTGTAGGATTTACCAAATACACAAGGTTCACAAAACTCAATTTTTTCGACCTTGTAACCACATAACGAATTTTGTCGAAAATTCGAACATGCCTCTTTCACGGGCATGACCAAGTTGCTTGTACCATATCACATTATTCAACACAAGTTTTATGGATGTCACAACTGTTGAACCACTTATAACCTCAGCTTCAAGGGTATACAAGCCTTGCCTCTTGATGCCTCTCAAGACTTCCTTCAACCCCTTCATTACCCTTAGGATACTTTGCTCTACTTCGGAAACATATCCTTTCTTTTTGAATTCACCAAGAGAAATCAAATTCGTCTTAAATTTAGGTACATACATGATATCAATCAATAGCCTTATTGACTCATCATGGAGCTTGAATCTATCAGATCTAATTTCTGCAAAGTTGCAGGCTCTATTATTTCCCAACAACATTGATCCATCATCTTGATCACATAATTCCTCAAACACATCTTTGTTTTGAGTCATGTGTCAAGTACAACCTGAATTCATAATCCACTTCTTGCTAGAGTTGCTGCTTGAAACCACCAGGACATCAGATGATTCATAATCATCTTGCACAATGGTTGCATTACCATTATCCTTACCATCATGGTTATTCAATTGATTAGGGCCCACCTTTTTTGTATGATCCTCCTGCTAACATTGATAACATTTAATAGCAAGAGCATTACCACCATAAGAATTCTATAGAACTTTACATTTCTTCTTCTCAAACATCTTATATTCTTCAAGAATTTCCCCTTAACGGACAAATCTTCACCAACAAAAGATGGCTTATGCTCCTTTTGTTCGTTCAAATCCTTAGAGTACAAGGCTGATTGAATTTCTTCAAAGGTCAATGAATTTCTTCCATACATGAGGGTTTCTTTGAAATGAGCATGAGATCTTGGTAAAGGCACAATAGTAGAAACACTTGATCTTCATCATTAATCTTGACCTCGATATTTTCAAGATCAAGAATCTATTTGTTGAACATATCCAGCTGCTCAGCCAAGAATTTATCTTTACTCATCATGAATGAATATAAAGCTTTCTTTAGGTAGAGACGGTTGACCAAGGGTTTGGTCATATACAAACCCTCGAGTTTGCTCCACACACCCGCTGTCGTCTTATCCTTCGAGACCTGCCGGAGAACCTTATCACCAAGACTCAATATGATGCCATTGTAGGCTTTCTCGATCATCGTCATCTTCTCCTTCTCCGTTAGGGCAGCACCATCTTCTTCGATCCTTTCAACACTTCTAATAAACTCTACTAAACCAACATGGCTTATATCTTCAAGTGCCTCAAACTGAAATCATTCACGCTGGTGAATTTTTTAATCTCATTCTTTGTTAACAACATCTTCTCCTCCGCCGCGCTCACCACACCAATTTGATGGAAAATGATGCCCAAGAAAACTAAGTACGATATGTTTCTTGATTAACATGAAAAATCACAAGGTAAAAGAAAAGAGAGAAGAAGAAGAGAACGACAAATCAAAGTGGTTTAAAACTATGGATTCTTGATTCAATTACACATTAGGGAACAATGTTTATAATTGAATCCCAATCAACCACTTTCTCCCTCTAATTATGATTATCAGGAATTGAAGGAAAAGTGGCGACTAGTATGCTATTTATAGAAAAACTAAACCCTAATTTTCAACTAACATACTAAACAATTGACCCAACAAACTGACTCAATTCTATACGCTAACTTAAACAACAAACTAACATATTTCGATAAGTTAATTAAAACATCTGCATGTAAAAACAAACTTCAATTACGACATGCACATCTTCTACTACTGTCAAATCATAAAAATAACCTAGTCAAGAATAGATTTCGATCCAAATATCACTGTTAATACGTAAAAAAACGTAAATAATAAAATAATAAAATGAAGTAATATGAGGCTGTAAACCATTTATCCTAAAATAAATTGAGTCAAACATTTGCTTGCATACATCAATTAGATCCGATCAACTATTTGAATTGATCTCATGGAAACTTCATTCACCTAATCATTATAATATAAAACAAAACCTCAAGAAGAAGAAAAAAAGTTTACTTGCCACCACTACTTTTGACAAATCTCCCCATGCCAATACCTCATTAGTCTCTCATTCAAATCATTACGTAGCAGGTTTACTTTTTATCATTTTAAAATCTTTTTCATCGAATCAAACCGAGTAATTCATTTGAATGATTATAACTTGAGCTAAGTCTACGGTATTAGGTTAGCAAATTAAATGGAGAGCAAAAGCACCTTGATATTACTCAAATATATTATTTAACTTTTTTGACAATATGTACATTGATATTAATCTTATACATACTTTGATAAATTTGGCATATGAATTGGTCGTAAGAGGTGTATATAAATATGAGACACTTCCTTAGTTTCCAAACACAAAACTTTCTAATTCTCTTTTAAGTATAATTAGCAAGTTAATTATGGCTTCGTTTTGTTCCAGCATGAGTAGTAATTTGATTATTGGTTTTTTTCTTTTGGTTCTTGTGTTAATGGGGAGTGCTAATGCTTCACTTTCGAAAGATTATTACTATAGTTCATGTCCAAAACTCTTTGAAACTGTCAAGTGTGCGGTTGAATCTGCAATATCAAAAGAGACTCGCATGGGTGCTTCTCTTCTGCGTCTGTTCTTCCACGATTGCTTTGTTAATGTAATCATTTTTTCAATCCTTTTTTTCTCGATATGGACATATTATAAGAATACAAAGAGATATATATTTTGAAATAATTTTATTTTTATTAATGTGACATTTAATATGAGATTGAAAAAGTACTATTTGTTATGATTTTAGGGATGTGATGGTTCGATTTTGCTCGATGATACATCAAGCATCACGGGGGAGAAAAATGCAAATCCGAACAAAAATTCTGCGCGTGGGTTCGAAGTAATAGATCAAATTAAGTTAGCAGTGGAGAAAGTATGTCCAGGTATAGTCTCTTGCGCGGATATTCTTGCCGTCACTGCTAGAGACTCCGTTGAGATAGTAAGTATTCGCCAAAATTGCATCATAAAAATCTTATTAATACATTCACATGCATGAACATATAATTATAGGGATTGATTATTTTTAAATTTCTCTAGCTTGGAGGTCCAAGTTGGGATGTAAAACTCGGAAGAAGAGACGCTAGAACCGCTAGTCAATCGGCTGCAAACAATGGCATCCCAGCACCAACTTCAAGCCTCAATCAACTCATCTCAAGATATAATGCTCTTGGTCTTTCCGCAAAGGATTTGGTCGCACTGTCTGGTATGTTACATTCACTATAATTTCATCAGGACCGTCTTTGAAGACACACTACTGAATAGAGTCCAAAATTTGTTGCGGTTATATGTTCTAAACTATTTTAAAATGATGATATTTGGATTAGGTGGTCACACAATTGGACAAGCAAGATGCACAACATTTAGAGGCCACATTTACAACGACACCAACATAGACACTTCCTTTGCTCGCACAAGGCAATCCGGCTGCCCTAAGACATCCGGGTCAGGAGACAATAACTTGGCGCCCCTCGATCTCGCGACACCAACTTCCTTCGACAATCATTACTTCAAGAATCTTGTTGATATTAAGGGGCTACTCCACTCTGACCAAGAACTCTTCAATGGTGGATCCACTGATTCCATAGTGCGTGAATATAGCATGAACCCAAACTCTTTTTTCGATGATTTCGTCGACGCCATGATCAAGATGGGAGACATTAGTCCCTTAACTGGATCAAATGGTGAGATAAGGAAGAATTGCAGGAGTGTGAATTAATCAAGTTGAATAATGTTGTATTGAATACATGTATCTTTTTATTTATATCTATGGCTGGATGCAGCATATTCTATTTTTATTTGAGTTTTGTTGATTGTGTGTTGTTTAGTAATATATAATTTCATATTGTATTTTAATTAAGTCTTGTTTGACTTTTTATTTAATTAATCAAAGTTTATTTCATGCGAAGTTCATTTGTGACTATTTAGTAATACCTAACTACATTGTGTTTTGTATTGTAGTTATTTAAATATTGATTTATTGTGAATTTTATTTTATGTTTCATAAACAGCTTGGGAAGGTTTTAAGTTTTTTAATAGATAGCTAAGTCAACGTTTAACAAAAATATATATTAATTCTGTAAAATGATTAAAAAAATTAATTTATTATTTCTTTTTACTTGTTTCTATTTATTTATTTATTTATTTATTTATTTATGTGTTTGAAACATTTTTATCTTTTCTTTTTCAATGAAGGGTCTCTCTAGCACGCACTAAGATTGAAAATATGCTAAATTGAGTTAGACTTTGCAAATTTTGAGCCTAATCTATTAAAAAAAATAAAAGCTTAAATTGACATATGGTTTATTAAAGGTTCATTTTCGGTATGAGTTTAGCTTTTTCAAAGGTCTCATTAGTCTAATAGCCTACTTAAAAAACTTATATCATTTGAACATATGTAATCAATTAATTTAACTAATGTTTAAATATACTAGAGAATCAAAACTACAATGAGACTAAATGTTTATTTACATAAATTTATTTGAGATTACATAGAAGCATAATTTTTGTGAGATTATTTATTTAGGAAAATTTGTGAAAACAACTTATGACATTATTCATAAGATTTTTTCAACTTATTTTCACAAGTTCATCAAGATAATTAAACTTTACTTTTGTATTTTAATATAAAATACAAAATAAAATATAAAAAGTAATATGTTTATTTGTATTTATTAAAATAGATCGGCCTAATAGTCTTAAAATACTTTTTATGGCATGTAGCCTAACCTACTTAATTAAATACTCATAAAAAAGCTTAGGCCTTTTTTTACTTTAAAAAAAGTTTGACCTTACTTTGACCTGTATAGATTATGTCGTAGACCCCAATTAATTGGTCTGACTTATTCCCACCCTTATCTGCCACAAATGAAAAATGAACTAACATTAAGCACTAGAACTTCAATAAAAAATAGATGAATTCAAAAAATAGGGTTTCAACTATTACTACTCTATAATCAATTTATTTAGGGATATATATATTCCTAAAACGAAAATGGATTAAGATATTTATTGGTTAAAAGCATTGAGGTATTTAAAATAGATTAATATTCTTAAAAAGAATATTAATTATTAGTTAATATTTTTTTAACTACCATCAGAGTCATGAGATAGATGTGAAAGAAGATAAAATTTATAGGAATCCAAAATTTATTGCTTTGAAGTCTTAAAGCATGATGACAGACGCCTAGATTTTGCAACCTAAAGAATCTGATGAGGAGGATTTTGAAGAAATATCATAAGATGATAAGTGTTCTCTTATCTTCAAACAAGTGCAACGCTTATGGAGCTGAAAGATAGAAGAATCAATTCCTTTGCAAAGAGTTCAAGGACACTAAAGATCCTAGAGACAAAAAAGTTAGAAAAGAAAGTTATTTGTTATGAATGCAAAAAACCTCAGAATTTTAGAAATGAATATCACAAGTTAAAGAAAGAGAGATCCAAAAAGAATGGATCTAGAGAAAAGACAAAAGGATTCATAAGCATACAAAATCAATATGATGCGTCCTATGGTGAAGATAAAGAATAATGATCTCAACATCTTCCGGTGTGAAACATGACAACACAACAAATGATAATTGTGATGATGATGGTAAGGATGATGATGGTGGTGGTAGTGGTGATGATGACCAAAACATATTTTCTTACTTATCTTGTGAAAAAAATGTTTCTATATATAGTGAACTAATTGGTTAATTCTGAGAATGAGTCTCAAATATAAATGTATCAAAATGATCTATGACATGTCATTAGAACATCACAAAATTTTATAGAAAGATATTGATGTTTTAACAAATAAATATATTGTAAACATCAAACATCTCAACCTTATAGAATGAGTGTATGAGATTATTAAAAATATGAAGAGGCTTTTCAAGAGTTACTGGCCAATAATATCAACAAACGCAAGATGGCTTCTTTGATTTATGGCGTAAGCATGGGTAATAAGAAATGATTAGGATATGTTGATAAGCCAATAGTTAACACTCATGATCCTAAAGTTCTTTTTATGGATCTATGTACTTGCAAGTATAGTCAATAAGTTATCCAAGATGATAATGGTAAAGCTTATGGATAACAAATATACAAATCAACTAGTACCTACTTAGTTTTAATGATGACAACACTTGAAGTCGAGTAACTGCTAAAACATAGCTTCAGCGGTCAAAGATGCAAACGATGGTTGATTAAGCTATCCTCCTGAATCAAGCTAAACATATGTTTAAAGTCAGCATCGTAGTCCAGCAAACTCAAAATGAAGACTTAGGTTTCAAAGATCACCAATTGTTTTATCCTTTCAAGCTCTCTAATGATGGTAATTAAGTTGAAGATATCTCAAGCCCCGTGATCGGTGGATTTCAATTGTGTTTTCAAACGCTGTTCGTTGTTAATTTCGTAATGTTTTTATCTGTTTTTCGAAGCTTTAGTTGTTATTATCTGCATTACTCGTAGTTGTGTGTCTTCGAGTCTTATTTTTAAGTTTATATTACTTTTGCCGCTGGTGCGTTTGATTTGGTTTCTTTTAGGGTGTTTTTGGCAGGAATGGATAGCACGACAATCGCACTGCTTTCGGAGGCAAAGAAAAGTCGGAAAAGGGAAGTCAGAGCTACAACGCGGGTACCCGTGTTGCACAACACGGCCCGTGTCATGGAGGACACGGTTGGCAGACACGGGTAGACAAAGCAGAAGAAAAGGAGACTCAGACTTACAGCACGGGTGCCCGTGTCATGCAACACGGCCCGTGTTGCAACCCTTGAAGATGAGACACGCCCTGAAGAAGTCAGCAGCCTGACACGGCCACCCGTGTTGCACAACACGGCCCGTGTCAGGGCCACTGAGAGTGAAATTTTTATGTTTTCTGTTTTTTTGCTGTCAGACCTATTTCGAAGGGCATTTGAGACATTTCGCGATGTAATTTGAATTTAGATATAAGAGGCACATTTTAGAAAGTAGGGGACACTTTTGAACTGAGATTAGGATTGACAACTGAGAGGAGAGTTCGGCTGGAAAACAAAGGATCGATCAAAAGCGGAAGCAATTGATGATCCAAGGATTTCAACTTACATTGTAATGATCTTCTCCTTTTCACTTCTAATTGCTTTTATGTTTACCAAGAACATGAGCAGCTAAACCCCAAGTTGTTAGGGGGTGGTCCTAAGTTGCATGTAATGACTTTTGTGTGATGATTCTATGAGAACTATGTTATTACCTTTATATATTTTATTTTGCATTAATCTTAATCGTATTCATATTGGAAAGTAGAATTCGAATTGTGCTTAGGCGTTAGTCTGGAAAGTCAACCTAACACTTTTGCAAAATAGTATCACGGTCGATATTGCTTAGGAATGAGGATATCCCGTATCATGTATTTTATGGTCGGAACTATTGCTTGATGCTTTTCATGGACACTGAGGAATTAGTGTACAGGAAACTCATCAAAGGGTTTTCATTAAGGAATTAAGAAAACTAAATTGGCCAACTGATGAATTAAGTTAATAACTAGTACAGCAGGATAATCATACAGAGTCTTTACTCGCATCGTCTCCACTCCCCTAACACTGTTCTTAGATTGATTCATAAGTCCTTATTTACTTGTTATATTACTCTGCTACAAAACAAACCCCTAGACCTTTTGTTCATTTGAATCCTAAAAATTCCGTTAATTACTACGCAGTCCTCGAGATCGATACTTGGGGCTTTTCCCTTATTCCTACAATTGGTAAAAATAGTACACTTGCTATTTTCCCGATCACCCCGCCAAGAGGGTTAAAAGTTCTTATGTGATGCTAAATTCAAAAATAATAATGCCAAGACTTGAAACTTCAGAGTGCAAAAGAGACAAAGTGTGAAACCTCGTCAGGTCATGTTTGACGAAGTGATCTATGTCTTGTAAAGACACAAGAGCATTTTTTGAAATATTATGGCTAAATACCACCCCTCTCCCCCCCCCCCCACACACACACACATACACCCCCCCCCCACACACACACACACACCATCCACCAATACCCCCTACACACACGCACACACACAAACATTGAGAAACCTCTCACATTTTAAAATAAATCACCAGAAAATGTTTTTGAGGCCTAGCCAGATGATTATAAGAATGTCTAATTGATTATGGGACTTTTCTAATTTTTCTAAATGATTATACTTATAGTTTAATCGATTAGATAATGTGTAATCAAGTCTATAATCAACAATGATATTCCCTTAATGATTGGTAACAGATCTCTATCAAAGTTTTCCATTTTGAGCCATAACAAACGATTATTTGAGGTGCCTAATCGATTAGGTGAGTTAATTGGCCCATGGATTGTTTCCAATTTTACCCCACATCTTGACCTATAAATAAAGAGCTTCTCTAGCACTTTTAAACATACAAAAAATGTGAAAAACTTCAATTTTCATTTCTCTCATGACCTCTCTAAATCTCTCTTATTTTTTAACATATTTTTGTTGTAGTGCTTTGGGTGTGTTCTTGAGTCTAGTGAGGAATATTGTTCTGGTTGAGGACAAAATTGTAAATAGGTATGTTTTCTCCTTTATTTTCATCTCATTCTATATTCTCTCTTGTGTGCATATTTGATTATTCTAGAGTAAAGTTTCTTCTTCTTCATCATTAATAGCACCCAAGAGAACATACACCTATGAAGCTTCCTCCTCCTACCACTCTAAATTTTCTCAACCCAAGAGCAAGAAACCAACTTCAATCAT